TCTGTGCAATGAAAGAATGTGGCATAGATTAAATGTTTGTCATTATGACTTTTTGTCATCATGGTTACATTGCATTACTAGGTTATTTTTTAAAGGGAGTTACGAGATGCTTATTTGATCCTGTTTGCATTTGTGTATGCCCTTTAGGCCAACCGTTTTCATCCATGGTCTGCTTCTTGAAAGGTGGCTGCCCTTGGGGAAAATCCAAGCCCTTTTCAGTCTCTGCAGCGTACACTGAGCTCTTTCTGTCACCCACTCCCTTTCAAACAGGGGAGAGCTGAGCTTAGCTCTTGGTGTTGATGCTCATGTAGCATTTTAAGAGCAAAAGGCCCTCTGCCTCTCAAAGCAAGAGATGGGTTGACAAGAAAAAATCAAATAGGATGGTAGCGTCCTTCTTGCCTACCCACATGGAAACCCTGTCTGGGAGGGACCAGAGGGCATTTTTTATACCTTTAAAAGATCAGGGACATGGGACGGGTCCCCAAAACTGCATACAGCTACCAAACTGATCTGGAGCAAGAAGGGTTTGAGGACCCATCTATTTTTATATCATAAGAAAATAGGCCTGCATTGCTTCTCCACTCTTTGCATGACTTGCACAATGCTCAAATTTGACAATTCAATAGCATGATCCTGTACTAGGGGAAGAAGACCCTAGACTCCCTGAAGCTCAGGCTTTATTCTTTCAGGTTGCAACTGCTATACCTACTAGGTAAAACTACCCAATTTAGCCCCTTTGCTTTTAAAGAAAACCCAGAGCCCCTTGTAGAATTGTCTTCAGTTTTATTAATACAAGCATTGTCAAATTTCTCTCTACTTGTGCTTTCCATCACTGACCAAGGAACCTGTATCCTTCACCTAAGAATGGAGTTGGTTCTGAATAAGAGATAGATTTTATATTTTCAAGATTTAACATCAACTATTTGTTGATTCTTCCCAGCAACACTTGTGATGAACCAAGGTGTACCCTAAAACCATCTCAATACCCAGTACAGCTTAATCTGAATGTCTACAGCCTCCTCCCACTTTCCATCTTAAGGCCTGAAACCATATACCAACATCAGGGTTTGACCACCAGCCACCCCCTGCCTCACTTTCTTTGCCATCTGTGTCATCCAGAGTATATAAAAGAATGCACTGTATTTTGTGACCTCTGACTTGGTCTAATATAGGGTTGGGATGAACCCTTTCGGAGTCCATCCCTGTATCATCTGCGGAATTCCTCTTGTACTTGCCCGGTACTGCAAAGTGACTTGAGTCAAAAGGAAGTCTGTAAATGTTCACAGACAGCTGATGTTATTTATTTATTTATTTATTTTATTAAAACATTTCTATGCCGCCCCTTGCCAAAGCCTCGGGGCGGCTCACAGCACAGAATAAAATACAATAAAATACAAAAATAACAATATAAAATTAACAATATAAAATAAATAACAATATAAAAGAAGTCGCCCTGGCCAGATAATGGCCAATGAGCATCCTTCCCTGACAAGAAGACTGCAGGATGCGGAAGAGGGGCACTGCGAGTGGCACACCAGGCACCATTCCCAGCCTCCTTCCCTGGCCTCCTTCCCTGTCCACTGCTACTGGTGGTGACAGGCACAGAAAAGAGGCACTGCTTGTGTATGAGAGTCTTGATTCCTGGTGAGTGCCCTGCCGATACCAGGTTCTTGGCCTCAGGGCTGCTGCGAAGTGGACCAGAACCTGAGGAACCAAGCCCAGGGAATCTGACTGATTACCACCTCCAGAAAGTATTCCTCACACATCCCTAGTCCAATAATGGCACCATGGTGATACTGATTTTGGAATTCAATTCTAGAATTTTTCTTTTGGCATCAGATTACCTTTTTTTTTTAAATCAATTTAATTGTACTAGACTTTCGAAGATCTAAATATGAATGTATGTTAGCTTACAGGTTTGTTGGAAATGCATATGCAGCCATTTTGTTGCTTATTACATTGAATGAGGACTGATTGAAAATATGAAAAATGTATTGCCCTGTAATTGTGGGATTTTATTCATAATGCTGTATACTGCTTAATTCCTCCTTAATTCTTGAAAGGGTTTGTGAAGATTCCTAAGCTTTACAGGTGCAACGCATTGGGTTTTTTAATGGAGTAATTTTATATTTAAAATATTTTTAACCTTGAAAACTGTTGTGGGCAATATCTTCAGTGAAGAGATACAATGATTTAAGTAAAAGTACCTGCTTCTCTATGTCTGTGAAACACGAGCATTACAGGTTCAGTGATCTTAGAACATAGGTGTGCTGCTGCTTAGTCTAAAGTACTTCAGCTGTTGCTGGAGGCTGGGTAGTGTTGGGTCACCTTGCTAAACTTGAAGTATCCCTCCTCCAACCCACTGCATTGTGCAGCTCATCTTACCATAAGCGATAAGGAGACTGGGGAATAGAAAAGCACCTTCTTCCCCTTCTTCTAGACAGGATGATTAAATGGCTTGCCATGGCACATAAGGGCCGTGATAAAGAGCCCTTATGTAGAGCACCCCAGTGACATCACTTTTTGCAGATCCATGAAGGCATAAGTGGGTCAGTATGACTAGAAGAGTCATACAGATTCAGCTTTTCAGTTAAGAATAATGGCGATCAAGATTATTTTATTAAACAGTGTTAAGTTCAGTTTTTATTGCTAGTTGTTGTAGCATACAAAATGCCTTTCCATATCTGGAATGTTTTCTGTGGGAATACCCTCTGTAATAGAAGGGTCCATTTTTCTCTGAGAGTTTCACAACAATTCAAGTATAGGAAACATGTAACTGGATAAGACAACTGGAAAGACAATTATGAATGATTACTCAGCTATGACTTATAAGATAAATGAAAGAATGCAAAGAAAAATGCAAAGAAAAATTGAATTAATTGGACTTATTGGACTGTTAAGTTATTGAATTCGTACAACTGATTGTTTCACTTTTTACATGCAGCCCAATATTTAATGAGTTAGTGCACTAATATAATAACTCTTTAATGAATTATTAGATTAAAATAATCAAGAAATTGAGTAATGGATAATTGACATGATATTGAGACGATACGCTTAAATAGTTTAACACATCTTTGTGTTTAATGTTAGCAGGCTTAATTTAAAAGGCAGACGTATCTAACTAAATCAAGTAAATGAAGGCTGAGATAATATCCAAGAGACATTCAGATGTTAGATTACTAGATAAATCAGGGACATATATATGTCACAAGGGCCCTGGAGAAAAGGAAGGATACATTAGGGATAAAAGAATTTAAATTTTATCATTTAAATCCAGAGGGAAGTTGTATTTTTTCTCAATGGCTATTCTGCATATGAGGGAAATACACATTAGTATTCATTGATGCACTGAATGGCTCTCGGAAACCTTTCCTTAGGAAACTTTTTCAAAGAAGGTGAGTTGATTTTAGGCTTGCGATTTGCCATTCTGTTTTATTGTGTACTGTGTCTTGTTTTCTTTTAGGTGATTAATTATTAAATTATTATATAATCAATAGTAATAATTCTGAATGAGTAATGGCTATATATTTGGATAAGATTCAGCACTGAGGGAAAAGATAGTGTTAAAGTGGCTTAAACATAATGGGTTGGAGGCAGACTTTTCTCTCATCAAACTGAAGGGGCACTTCTGTTTTTGAAGGGAACCATGATCCAGTGGAGCTTCTCCATGAGAAGGGAGATAGTAAGGTGGCAGTTTTTGCCAATTTTCCCTTTCAACCTTCAATATAATATCCTGCACTTTTCTGAAGGGTTCCTTCTGTCCCCAGGGAAGCTATTTTAGGGGGCAGAAAGGGTTGTAGGAGGAAGAACTGGCCAAAATCAATGCCTTGCATCCTTTCTCCAGCACAAGCAGAGCTCCACTGACCCCAATTCCGGATTCAGACCTATAAAACTGATGGTTCTGAGGTTTTTAAGACAGCAAATGAACCATTAAGAGGCTATAACATTTTAGTCTGGGCCACATTGTTTGCATTCTTGTACTGTCTTGAAGAAAAGGGAGCCAATCAGATTATCAGTGCAATAATATTGCTGTTGCGGATGATACTCCTGTTACGATCTTGCAGAATTTTTGCTCAGGGACATATATTAAATTTATTGTGCACAAAGGGAAGTTTGTTAAAGGGAAGAAAAGCCTCCCCCCCCCCCCCCCCACTGGTGCTTTTCAATTGATAACTTGGCAGTTGGACTCTGGCAACCGTGCACAAATGTAGACATGCCCGTCAGTTTCCTTGTCTGTTGCCTGTTGGGCATCTCCTTTTGACAGCTTGAAAGAGACATGGAAATTGACCAGAAAAGACTGCATATATTAGAGAGCTGTAAGAGTACACGTGGAATCGATCAGCACCAACAAAATTACAAACACAGTTGTGCTTTTCTCTAGACCAAAAAAGTGCAGATGGAGCCTCTGTTGCAGGGGCAGCAGCAGGTGGCGACATGAGCAAGCTTGTGAAGAACCACAGGCACTTTTGCCGCTCTTGCCAAATAGATCACTATCCAGTCCCCACAAGCCGTAATGAAATTGGTCCTCCAGGTTTGGAGGACACTATGGCAACCCACTGTGATACAAACAGGCAGCCCCTAGAAGAAGCCATGGGTTGTCAGAGAATATAAGCCACCCTGTGGGGAAGCCATTTGAATTTGGAGAACATGATAACCCACCATGGGTAGTTATCCATGATAGATTGTTATAATGTATGAGCTAAGTCAATCTAAATGTACATGAAAGAGAAAAATCCATTCATTTTGTACAGCTGAGGCATTTCAAATCGTGTAGGAATACTGATTAAATTACCAGTATGAAAGATGACTAGGTAGCAAAGTTTCTAGATTTTTAGAAAGATAGATTATGATAATATGCTTTATAGAACAAAAGTTAAATAAATGAATAATCTTTAGTATCAGGGACCGCCTGAGTGAGGTTCACGTGCTTCTCCAGGGAATGTTCTTAGTTTCTTATTTGCATGATTTAACTAAGTCTGGACTTTTGTTTCTTTCAGGCAGCGTTTACCCTTCTCTTGGGCCCATTCACCTTTTTTAATGTACAGAAAACTAAGTATCTGCAAATAATGACATCATTAATGAGGTGGATAGGTAAGTCCATGAGCCTTTGCTATTCTACACCAATATTGATATACAAGCACACTATAAAAGGGCGGCTGCAGAGCTAGAAATGGTGCAGAAAGAGACAACCAAGATGACAAAGGTGCTGAAGGAACTCCTGTATATGGAAAAGTTACAAGATTTGCTGCCCTTTCGAAGAAAGGTGAGCAGGGGGAATAATAGCAAAGTATAAAATTATGCAGAGCATGGAGAAACTAGATAAGGATACACTTTGCTCGCTTTCTCATGATACAAAAGCCTGGGGTTGTCTAATGAGGTAGAAGGCTGGGAGGTTAAGGAAAGAGAAAAGGAAGTACTACTTCACAGGGTGCATAGCTAAACTATAGATTTTTTTGCAACAAGACGTGTTTTGAAAGGTGATCACACACATTCATGAAGGATTAGACTATCCATGTCTACTATGACCAATGATGGCAATATATTACCTACTTTATTGGAGGTGCATTCTTCAGTCTGGCTGCTGGTGGAAAAGACAAGTGGGAGCATGGGGCTCAACGCTCATTCACCTTGTGGGCTTCCTCGCAGCATTGGGTTGGCCACTGTGTGAACAGGATGCTGTACTAGCCAGGCCTTTGACCTGATCCGGGACAGTTCTTCCTATGTCTTTATGTTCTTACTATATCATTGGCAGTTCTTCCTGTGATGCAGCAATATTCATGTGCCTAGACTACTTGTATGAGCACTTTTTAGCCCGATAGGACTGCCAAGAGCACAGGAATCATGGCATTGCTTATTTTGTACCCTTTTTGATGCAGATGGAAATCTTAGTTTATATGTCATGAACCTCTCTGATATTTAGCCATGCATGTTTTTGGAATCACTTAAGTATTTGGAGAATTTTCCTTTACTTTGTGTGATCAGAAAGAAGTACAGTTTAGAAAATGAATATATTTTATTAAATGGTATAATTACATCCAAAGCATTTTCGGTTTTATTTGTGCAGGTACCTTTCATGGCAAAAAGAATCGGTGTGGCATAATGGTTAGAAGGCTAGACTGGGAGTTGAGAGACTCAGGATCTGATGTGTACATGATCATGGAGCTCACTGGATGACTTTGGTCCAGTCACCAACTCCCAGCCTAACCTACCTCATAAGGTTGTTCGAAGGATGAAATGCAGCGGAGAAGACCATTTAAACCATTTTGGTTCTTTACACAATATAGATGATTTTTTTTTCATTTATCTGATTAAGTTCTTGGATACATTTGTTGAAGGGATCATACAGAAGGAAATTTAAATCTTTTTGTTTAATATGTTTGTTGTTGTTAGTCGCGAAGTCGTGCCCAACCCATCGCAACCCCATAGACAACATTCCTCCAGGCCCTCCTGTCCTCCACCATCTCCCAGAGTCCACCTAAGCTCACACCAACTGCTTCAGTGACTCCATCCAGCCACCTCATCCTCTGCCGTCCCCTTCCTCTTTTGCCATCTATTGTTCCCAGCATTAGACTCTTCTCCAATGAGTCCTTCCTTCTCATTAGGTGGCCAAAGTATTTGAGTTTCATCTTCAGTATCTGGCCTTCTAAAGAGCAGTCAGGGTTGATCTCCTCTAGGACTGACTGGTTTGATCTCCTTGCGGTCCAAGGGACTCGCAGGAGTCTCCTCCAGCACCACAATTCAAAGGCCTCAATCCTTTTGTGCTCAGTCTTCCTTATGGTCCAGCTTTCACAGCCATACATTGCAACTGGGAAAACCATCGCCTTGACTATACGCACTTTTGTTGGCAGGATGATGTCTCTGCTTTTTAGTATGCTGTCTAGATTTGCCATAGCTTTTCTCCCCAAGAGCAAGCGTCTTTTAATTTCTTGGCTGCAGTCCCCATCTGCGGAGATCTTGGAGTCCAGGAAAATAAAGTCTGTCACAACCTCCATTTCTTCCCCATCTATTTGCCAGGAAGTGAGAGTACCGGATGCCATGATCTTGGTTTTCTTAATGTTGAGTTTCTAGCCAACTTCTGCGCTCTCCTCCTTCGCCCGCATCAAGAGGCTCTTTAGTTCCTCTTCACTTTCTGCCATGAGAGTGGTATCATCTGCATATCTGAGGTTGTTGATATTTCTTCCAGCAATCTTAATTCCAACTGGTGATTCATCTAGCCCCGCCTTTCTCATGATGTGCTCTGCATGTAAGTTAAATAGGCAGGGCGACAGTATACAGCCTTGCCGAACTCCTTTCTCAATTTTGAACCAATCAGTGGTTCCATGTCCAGTTCTCACTGTTGCTTCTTGACCTGCATATAGGTTTCTCAAGGGACAAATAAGATGGTCTGGTACTCCCATCTCTTTAAGAACTTGCCACAGTTTGTTGTGATCCACACAATCAAAGGCTTTAGCATAGTCAGTGAAGCAGAAGTAGATGTCTTTCTGGAACTCCCTAGCTTTCTCCATGATCCAGCATAGGTTGGCAATTTGATCTCTAGTTCCTCTCCCTCTTCGAAATCCTGCCTGTACTTCTGGTAGTTCTTGGGCCACATACTGCTGCAGCCTAGCTTGTAGGATTTTGAGCATAACTTTGCTAGCATGTGTAATGAGTTGCCCTTCTTTGGGATCGGAATGTAAACTGACCTTTTCCAATCCTCTGGCCCCTGCTGAGATTTCCAAATTTGCTGGCATATTGAGTGTAGCACTTTTACTGCATCGTCTTTTAGGATTTTGAATAGCTCAACTGGAATACTGTTGCCTCCACTAGCTTTGTTGTTGCTCAGACTACCTAAGGCCCATTTGTCTTCACATTCCAGGATGTCTGGCTCGAGGTCAGTGACCACCCCATCGTGGCTATCAGGGATGTTAAGCTCTTTCTTGTATAGTTCTTCTGTGTAGTCTTGCCACCTCTTCTTAATTTCTTCTGCCTCTGTTAGGTCCCTGCCATTTTGGTCCTTTATCATGTCCATCTTTGCATGAAATGTTCATATCCAATTTTCTTGAAGAGATCTCTGGTCTTCCCTATTCTATTGTTTTCTTCTATTTCTTTGCACTGTTCATTTAAGAAGGCATTCTTATCTCTTCTAGCTATTCTCTGGAATTCTGCATTCAATTGTTTGTATCTTTCTCTTTCTCCCTTGCCTTTCGCTTCCCTTCTTTCCTCAGCTATTTGTAAAGCTTCCTCAGACAGCCATTTTGCTTTCTTGCATTTCTTTTTCTTTGGGATGGCTTTAGTTGCTGCCTCTTGTACAATGTTGTGAACCTCCGTCCATAGTTCTTCAGGCACTCTGTCTATCAGATCTAATTCCTTAAATCTATTTGTCACCTCTACTGTATATTCATCAGGGATATGATTTAGGTCATACCTGAGTGGCCTAGTGCTTTTCCCTACTTTCTTCAACTTAAGCCTAAATTTTGCAACCAGAAGCTCATGATCTGAGCCACAGTCAGCTCCTGGTCTAGTTTTTACTGACTGTATAGAGCTTCTCCATCTTTGGCTGCAGAGCACATAGTCAATCTGATTTCTGGTTTGACCGTCTGGTGATGTCCATGCGTAGAGTCGTCTCTTGGGTTGTTGGAAAAGAGTGTTTGCTATGACCATCATATTCTCTTGACAAAATTCTACCAGCCTGTGCCCCACTTCATTTTGTACTCCAAGGCCAAACTTGCCTGTTATTCCGGTTATCTTTTGGCTTCCTACTTTAGCATTCCAATCCCCCATGATGATAAGGACATCTGTTTTTGGTGTTAATTCTAGAAGGTGTTGTAGGCCTTCATAGAACCGGTCAACTTCAGCCTCTTCAGCACCAGTGGTTGGGGCATAGACTTGGACTATTGTGATGTTGAATGGATTGCCTTGGATTCGAACTGAGATCATTCTGTCATTTTGGAGATTGTATCCCAGTACTGCTTTTCCTACTCTTTTTTTGACTATGAAGGCTACTCCATTTCTTCTGAAGCATTCTTGCCCTCAGTAGTATACCTGATGGTCATCTGAATTAAATTCACCTGTCCATTTTAGTTCACTGATTCCTGTCCATTTTAGTTCACTGATTCCTAAGATGTCGATGTTCAGTCTTCTCATCTCTTGTTTGACCACCTCCAACTTGCCTTGATTTATGGATCTTACATTCCAGGTTCCTATGGAGTATAGATCTTTGCAGCATCGGACTTTCCTTTCACCACCAAATACATCTGCAACTGAGTGTCCTTTGGGCTTTGACCCAGTCGCTTCATTCTTTCTGGCGCTACTAGTACTAGCCCTCCACTCTTCCCCAGTAGCATATTGGACACCTTCCGACCTGAGGGGCGCATCTTCCAGCGTCATATCTTTTTGCCTTTTGGTACTGTCCATGGGGTTTTCATGGCAAAGATACTGGAGTGGGTTGCCATTTCCTTCTCCAGTGGATCACGTTTTGTCAGAGCTCTCTGCTATGACCTGTCTGTCTTGGGTGACCCCGCACGGCATGGCTCATAGCTTCATTGAGCTACGCAAGCCCCTTCGCCACGACAAGGCAGTGATCCATGAAGGAGTTGTTTAATATATTTAATATTAAATCTCTCACACATTATTAATATCCCATTTACCATCAGAAAATAGTTGGCAGAGTGTTTGAATACATTATTACTCTAACCAAAGGAACTATGTTTACTATTCTAGTGTTCATAGGTCTCATTAATTTTTTTATAATAATTTTTTTCTAAGACTCATCAAAAGAGAAATGGAGACAGTCTTATGCAGGTCATGCAACATTAACTCTTTGTTGAAATTCTAAAATAAGATCACCACCTGTTGGGCAGTTAAATGTCCCTTTATTGGAGTGCATTGTTATTACTCAAAATGTTTGAAGACTTCTTTTTTAAAATGTATTTGTTATCTGATGTCAAGCATCATACAAAACATGTACTTTGCTATAAGTGGAAACAGAATAGGAAAGCTAATGTTCTGTCAGGAAAAAAAATCACTTGATGTTGTCTTATACAGGACTGAGATTTCCACATTCATTAATAATGATATTTTGACCTGCCCCCAACCCAGAGATAAGTTCTCCA